GTCATAAAAAAATCGGATACGAGTCAGATGGGTCAAAAAAATCGGATTTGGGTCGGATTTGCCTGCMGTGTGAACGTAGCCTGTGTCCCGGTCTGAACATAGCTCGTCCAACTGGAGGTGTTGGGCGCTTTTTTGCTGCTCAAAAYGYATYCGGTATGAACGTAGCATTAGAACATAAAGCTTTTCTTCATATAAACTAAAAGATTTTAATTTTAGTGTCTGTTTCAGCTTCAAAACACAGTTTAAATCAGGTAGCTTTATTTTGTAAAAACATCCTTTTAAAATCAAGACACCAGGGAAGGAAAGAGTTATTGGTGATCCTTGGCTAAGTAGCACAGGTCATAAAAACCAAGCTGAAASCAGGTGGGATCACCCAGTTTCAGATCAGTAGTCTCTGAAGCCACACRGGGTCGACCTGAGTAGAACTTAATCAGTCGTATACAGAATCAACAGCGTAAGAGTTTTAGGCCTTAACTTTTACAATGAAATCCTTCAGTTCTAATGAGTTCCTGCAGAGGTTAACTCCAGTTAATTACAGTCACCCACCACCTGTCCTGCCAGACTTTAAGACTAAGAGCATATGAGGCTGAGCAATGGTGGAGTTGTTTTGGCCTTAGGTGGGCGATAAATAGTGACTATAGATGGACCATTAAGCTGTATGGCTGTAGACTCAAACGACTGTTTGAACTGTCCACCTTTCATGTTTTCATAATTATAGCAAGACAAGCCCCATGACCTGAGTCATAAGGTTGGCATTTGAAAATGTAACCAGGGGGTATGGTTTCATTTAGCTCTGAAGTTGTTGGGTTGTTGCCAGGTTTCTGTGAAACATAAGAAGTCAGAATTATTGACATGTATGAATGAGATCCTTTGCATGAATGTGGAATAGCATTTTTGTAATAAATGTTTACTTCTGCAACATGCAAGAGTCTTTTTGCTCTTTACATTTGAACTAAGACATTTGTCGGATAAGATGAGAGGCGGGGCTACGTGTTGGGGATTTTTACAGCATCTCTCAAATGTAAAAGTGGAGAACCACAGAGTGAGCTAATATAAAACCGGAAGCAGTGAGATCGAGGTAAAATAAAAAAAAGACATTACTGAGAAGAATGCATTATTTTATTATATAGTGTGTGTTTAAAAATTAAAAGTTGTTTTTATAATTTCAGTGTGACTGATTTTTCTTCTAAGGAACATGAGAGTAACATTACTGTCAGGTTATGGAAGTATTTGAATTTTTTTTTTTGACAAAATAAAAAAATCTGAAAGACTTCTAGTCTTTCTCAGAAAAAAAGTGGGTTTGACTTGAAAAACGGACTAAAATAAATATGTGGGTGATTTTTCCCCAAATGACAAACCTAAAGGAATTACTTTGTTTTACTTTCATAATAACTAAAAGAAAAACTATGATGAGCTGAAATGTAAACACATCATGTGAGAAGCTGCTGATGGTCTCTCACAGGGAGAGGAAAGAGGCTGCTCAGTTCCATACRTATCCTGTTGGTTTTCCCGTGGAAGCAAAGCTACAAACATACGACTTTATTGTTTGTTTGAGCTTCAAGCACTAATATCCTTAATGAGATTTTAGTTGGAATCTAAATGGTTGAGGAAATGATAGTTAATAGTAAAATTGACTTGCACACATTGTGTAGTTGTCATCTCAAATGGTCATTTCTCTGAATTAGTTTATCTGTTTTTTGCATGCAGTTTTTATGTTTATTCTAATAATAATTTAAAGCTGGCATAGACGTATGCCTCCCATCAACACATTAATACTGTATGCCCATTTCATGAAAACAGCTGCACCTAGTAAACTATAACTGCTAAAGCAGGGCCATTCAACTGGCGGCCCGCGGGCTGTATGTGGCCCACAAGGGACCAAAATTCGGCCCGCCAATTGGTTCATTCATCTCTTAAGCTTAAACCCCCAGTTTTCTACTTTAATTACTCTAAGTTCTTTTAGTTAGACATAGACATGTCTGAAATCTACAGAACTGTGAGAATCTTGGCTACAAACTGGTAAAACCATTTCTATGCACACTAAACACAGTTAAAATGACAAGCAGTTGAWGATAAAACTACCAAAGTGAAAATAAAATTGGTTCAAAAATTTTGCAAGTCAGAGATGTCAAAATAATATTTGTGTCAAATAGGGGGTATAATGTGTTCTTTTTGTTTTTGATAGTTTATTTATCATTACTTTTATAGGGTTCTGTATGTTGTATTCGTGATTAAATGCAGCAAAATAAACTATTAAGGTAACAGATCTTTGTAATACTTGGTTTATTTACGTAATAAATTTAATTGCTGGATGTCCAGCCCCTAAGCTGTTGACCTGCAGTAACTGTGGCCCCCGGAGCAGTGTARTTGAATAGCCCTGTGCTAAAGTAACATTCAGCTTGGAAACAGATCTGTCATCTCAAACAATAAATGTAGTTGTTTGTGTAATAAATCCAAGTCTACAGTCAGAATTTCCTGATATTAAAAGATATTTTGGACATTTCATTTTTTTGTGTTTCAKAGTTTCAGACCACATTGAAAAAAGTATGGTTGTTTTTTTTTTAGAGGTAATTTTAGGTAATAAGTATTTCTTTCCCCAGAACCTACAGTAATTCTAATCTGTCAATTTACTTGTATAACAATTTGTTTTCAGGAGAGTTTTGAATCAGACAAACATTGAAATTGTGACCAAAATTTCTTTTTCAGTTTTCTATTTTAAAGTACTTCAGCTTATTGAATCCAATCTCTAAGCCCTAGTTTATATTTCAATAAGATGTGAGACAGCAGATCTGTGATAATGTCTTTTAAGACGTCTTTGTCTGACTGAGTGTTTATGGTCTGGAAGAAGACTCTGGGCATAAATCATCATAATCATCACATTTCCTCTTCCAGACACTCTCCTCTGGTACAAGACTCATGACCATCAAAACCAGAACAACATGACACTTTAACAGCTTCTCCCCCAGAGCTGTGGCACCCTTCAACCACAGCAGACTCCTCCCATAGTTAGAAATTAATCTACAATTCAGTTTATTTATATAGCTCCAAGTCACAACAAACGTCAATCTCAGGGCACTACAACTGAACTAAAAATAAAATAAAAAAAAATTCCACCAAACTTTAAAAATAAAATAAAATAAAAATGTACACTTTGTCAATTTAAATTAAATTTCTAGTAGTAGGGATGGCACGATAACTTGTTTTAAGAACCGATACCGATAACTTTCTCCTTCTAATGGCCGATAATCGATAATAACCTATAACATGCCAGGAGATAAGACTAGTCAAAAACAGGTAAGATCGTAACATAAATGCAGAATCCAGGGGGCTTTTGTTCAAAGTATTTCCATATCCCAATGAAAACTGGGGGTCTACGTCCAGCCTTGGATCTCAGGGGCCTCAATGCATACCCGAAGGTCATACCTTTTCACATGCTAACCACCAAGGAGGTGTTGCAGGCAATTTATCCAGGTGACTGGTTCACGTCCATCGACCTCACGGATACATATTTTCATGTCCCAATTGCTCCGTCTCATTGCCGGTTTCTTCGTTTCGCTTTCCAAGGGAAGCATTTTCAGTTGAGTCTTGCCATTCGGCCTTTCCCTGTCCCCCAGGGTGTTCACCCGCAGCCCTGTCCCCCCTGCAGGCTCAGGGGATAAGGATTTTTCCATACCTGGACGATTGGCTCATTTGTGCAGCCTCCCGCAGCCAGGCTGTCAGAGACACTCAGAGGGTGCTAGAGCATGTAGAGCGCCTGGGTCTACAGGTGAACATAAAAAAGAGCAGTTTTGGTTCCGGCACAGGAAACAAATTTCTTAGGAATTACCCTGAGTTCCATCACAATGACCACATGCCCGTCACTCCAGCGGGTCGACAGCATTCTGGACACGCTTCAGAAATTCAGGCGCGGCAAAGCGCAGCCTTTCGTGCTGTATCTTCACCTGATAGGCATGCTCACAGCCGCATCCAGCGTGGTGCCCCTAGGGCTGCTATCGTTACGCCCTCTTCAGAGGTAGCTAAACAGCTTGGTCCTGGACCCCACCAGGCAAACACACAGGCTCAGGAGACTTCAGGTCACACCTTAGTGTCTTCGATCCCTGTCCCAGAGGTCAAAGAAACTGTTGTGGCTGACCCAGCAACTGTTGACCTGGGCAGCACTATACTTCGCCAGCCTCAGGACAGCCTACATTCTGGGACCACAGAACATGACTGCAGATTTTCTGTCCCGCCAGAGGCYGCTGGCGGGAGAATGGAAGCTCCACCCAGAGGTGGTGGACCACATCTAGAGAGTCTTCGGCAGTGCAGAGGTGGACCTCTTTGCCTCCAAGGAGGCGGGTCATTGCCCCCTTTGCTTCTCCCTAGTGGATGAAGCCAGCTCTCTGGGGTGCGATGCACTGGCACACAACTGGCCCCAGACCCTTCTTTATGCCTTCCCCCCAGTCATCCTAATTTTTCCAACCCTTCTGAGGGTTCTTCGGGATGGCCACAAGGTTCTCTTGGTGGCCCCCTTTTGGCCAGCGAGGACTTAGTTTCCTCTGCTGTACAGGCTTTGCTCCAGCTGGCTGATGCRCCTCCCAGCTGGGGGGCCAGATTCTTCACCCCGATCCAGATTGGCTCCAGTTATGGGTTTGGCCCCTACAAGGCCCGGTTCCACTTTCTCAAAGTAAGCTGGAGAAGTAGGAGAAAAGATGGCTAATGCATGGGCACCGTCCACCCATACTGTCTACGCTAACAAGTGGGCGATCTTTGAAAACTGGTGTCACACGAAAGGGCAGGACCCGGTACAGTGTTCAGTTTCTGACATACTGACCTTCCTGCAAGGATTACTGGATCGGGGACGGTCTCCGTCCACCTTGAAAGTATATGTGGCTGCTATTTCCTGTTGACATGTGGGGCTGAATGGCTGTTCAGTGGGCCGGAACAAGGACATTGTTCAATTTTAAAAGGTGCTAGGCACCTGCACCCGCCAAGCCGGCCCGTGGCACCGGCTTGGGACCTTTCTTTGGTGCTTGAGGCTCTCCAGTCACCCCCCGTTTGAGCCCCAAACATTGGTAGACCTCAAATGGCTCTCATTAAAGATGGCCTTCTGTTTGGCCATGGCCTCTGCAAAAAGCGTTGGCGAATTGCAGGGTCTATCTATAGCCGAGCCATGCTGTCGGTGGAACTCGGATGGCTCAGGTGTGACACTATGGCCTGATGTTTCTTTTATCCCTAAGGTGACAGTAGTGGCAGGCAGTACACAGTCGCTTCAGCTCGCCCGTATTAACACTGGGACCCCCTCGGAGCCTCTGTGCCCTGTTCGTGCTCTGGAGGCATATGTGAGATCCACAGCGCCTTTCCGAAGACAAATAATTTCTTTGTCTGCTATGCAGGCCCTCGGAAAGGGCAAGCCCTTTCTAAGCAGTGACTCTCGGCACTGGTCGTGGGGCTAATCAATAAGGCTTACACCTCGATGGGTCAGTCACTTCCAKTGGGTGTGAAGTGTCATTCCACAAGGGGCCTGACGACCTCGTGGGCCGCCATGACTGGAGTGCCGCTGGACATCATATGCAGTGCGGCCTCCTGGACATCACCAAGCACCTTTGCTCGGTTCTACAGAGTGAATGCGGAGGTGCCCCATCCCCTGCAAAACATTCTGAAGCAGCATCCTCCTACATCCCAGTGAGGTGGGTGGTGTTGTGGGTTTTTGCAGATTCCTCGTGACTTTGTTGTAGTAGTCATCCAGTGCTTGAAGCACCGCCTCTGGCGGTCATCCGGGATTCATAGAACTGTAGTTACAGTTGKAACTTTCGTTCAAATTATTAATGTTTTCACTGTTGCTGTGCTGCCTTGGAAACACTAAGTCTTACTTTTTTGGTTTATTTTCAATTTAATTTGGTGAACTTTTGAAAGTTAAAGCTTAATTTTTGTCATTACAACATTGAGAGCAAATTTCTTCACATACCATGATGTACATACGTATAAATCAGCTTTGATCAAATTAACAATGTAAACAATCGGATGCTTTTCTGGTGCAGAAATGCATCAGATTGTTAGTTTGAAAAGTTGTGAAATGTTTTGTTGTCACATTTGACTATTTTCAGTTTTTTCTTATTTATTCATTGCTGTAAGCACACTGAGTGAAAATGTTACTTTATAAAACATTTTTTCCACTCAGATTTATGTCCTGTTCTAAAATAAATTCTAATAATTGACAAGAAAAAGCTTTTCACCCCTCTCTGTTCTTTTTTTATTACAGAAGACGTGGCTTTTTTAATTTATTTTTTGTGGAGCAAATATTTTATTTTCCAGGTTTCTGCATCCTATCATTTTGTCCTTTTTCTTATAAAATATTTGACCAAAACATCTGAACAAATAAGTTCAGTCTGTTCTGCGTAACAAGATGGCGGTGTGTCAAATATGCAACGTAAAGAAAGTTTGAATTGGTTTTTGCTCTAAATGAATTGGACCTGAGATGATTGGCACTTTTTTTTTCAGGTCGAATTTCTAAAAAAGTCTAATTGAAATTGATTTAAAGAGCATGTAAAATGTAAAAACAACTTTTCCAAATGGGCGGGACAGAAGCGGAAGGTGGTTCTTAGAGAGACAGAGGCCAATTTCAAGGCGTTTAGAAGAGGAAGTGATGAGAAGATAAGTTTATTTTCTATTTAAACATAAAAACAGCATTTAAATAACAACTAAAGGTGACAGAGATACTTTATTATAGATAAGATAAGATAAGATAAGATAAATCTTTATTGTCATTGTCACAAGAACAACGAAATTTAAAAGGTGCCATCAGTCARTGCATATGCTAAAAAAAGAAAAAGAAAAAAGGTATGTATGATATAGTATTTAAATATATGCCTGAGAAACACATAATATTGCCCCTATAAGTCCTGTAAAAACAAAGAGGTAGAGGTTATTCACCTTTTTATTTCAGTTTATGTTCACTGTGACAGTAAAGGAACTAGGTCTTAATAAACTTTAGCACCAAAAAGGTCCAAACACTCCATACACCTCCACATCTTTTTCCTGTTGCTAGGAGACAGGAAAAGGTGGCTGATAATCCAGGCAGCAGAAGTCAACAGTGTGGGTTTACTGCATGGAGTGTCAGAAAATAGTCAGGACTTCATCTTTCTGTTAGCTGGGTTTAAGTTGTGTTGTTGTCTCTCTTTTGTCTTCAGTGACATCACTCTGTGTGTGTTTGTGTTCTTCTTCCTACAGTCGTAATCTCCTGTCTGGTTTACCCACGTCGGTGTTTCAGCTTCCCCTCCTGCGAGTGCTCATCGTCAGCAACAACAAGCTGTCTTCACTGCCCTCCTCTATTTTCTCCCTCACACACCTCCGACAGCTGGTAGGGCTCACAGACCTTCAGCACTGATCRAGTTTCTCCCTCCCTACTGTTAGTCGTTCTTGTGCACGTGAAGGTGGGAGTCCTGTTTTAGATTCAGTTTTAGACTGWTCTCGGTTTGTTGGACTGTTTCTCTTTAAGGATGTGAGCTGTAACGAGCTGCAGAGCCTACCTGCAGAACTTGGTCAGCTGGAGTGTCTGAGGGACCTGAACCTGAGGCGAAACCAGCTCATCACATTGCCAGAAGGTACAGACACACTTGACCTTTGACCCAAAACCTCTTAACCCTACTGGTAAAAACACCAAACATACGTGTGTGTGTGTGTGAATGCCACCAATTTCAGATCTGTCTGTACCCTAACAACAGAAATATAGTTTAGCCTAAATTTGCAATTTAAGAAGAAAATTGTCCTGAAAGTGCATTTATTTCTTATGCTGAAATTATCTGTAAAACTTTAGTCATTAAAATGTAAATGAAAGCCAAAYGCAATGAGTTTCACATGAACCACATTTCAGTCACAATWTGGCATCAAATCATCTAAAAAGTTTTGACAGGAGCAACAAAGGTTATAAAAGCAAGAGGTACAAAAAAGAACTGGAGGAGCATTGTTAACCAAATGGGTTCATTAGCAACAGATTTATTTGGTAATAAAACTAAATAAATTGTGTAATGTGTTTAAAAAATGGCTTTATTTCTGTAAAGCCTGGTATTTAATCTGAAGGTTATTTTAATGCAATAATCTGATACAGGCCTGYACGTAGAATCAGAACTCAGAACAAAAGTCTATGAGAGACATGAAAATAAATAACGTAGAATAATCAGCTCAGTGATGGGTGCTGTCTTTGCAGGTAATACAGTATAATAATAATAATAATAATAATAATAATCAGTTCTGTAGCTCTTCTGTTCTCAGGGGTCCAACAGTGTTTTCATTACTTCATTTCAGTAATGTTCAGAAACTCACATGTTCTAACTCTCCTTCTCTGAAACCTGTYCAGAAATATCTGAACTTCCACTTGTTCGGCTCGACGTGTCCTGTAATCGGATTTCCCACGTGCCCCTGTGCTTCCGCCACCTCCGGCATCTGCAGACTATCCTGCTGGACAACAACCCGCTGCAGATGCCACCTGCGCAGATTTGCTCCAAAGGCAAATATCACATCTTCAAGTACCTGAACATGGAGGCCTGCAAGAGTCACGAGGAGCTGGAGAAACACCTGAACCTGAGGCCCACTGGTTTTAAATGCTGGTGAGGAAAGCTGGGTTGGAAGAAATAAGAGTTTTTAGGGCTGCCTAAATATGYTGTATTTATTCTTAACAATATTTTATTGACAAGCTGCACCTGATGGATTCCTGATTCAGCTTTTCTCTGACTCACTTTGGCTCCACCCACTCTTCTCCAGATAGTTTCAAAACCTGAACATTTCTGCTGTGTTTAAACCTCCAACTATACACATCCAATGGCTGAAATTTTTAAAAAYGCTTCTTACTGTTAAGCTTGAGAAAATTAGATGAAAACCATGATCTGAGCCCGTATTTATCAAAGTTCTTAGAATTCCTCTTAAGAACGCTGCTAAGAGTGCACTTAAGTGTAAAATAATTCTTAGTTAAAAGTTGAGAGTAAAAGTCAGTTATCAAGCGTCTCAGTCTTACTTTMAGTGAAGTGTAGGAGTAATTCTGAAGTGTCAGACTTACAGCTGATTTGTGACACCTGGCTGTGCCACAAAGCTGATCCTGGATGACGTCATTAGAAAAACACAGGCATGAACCAATCACTGCCTCTGATTTCATGTTCAAGAATATYGTTGGAGAAAAGTCAAGATAAAACTGTGAAAAAGCTAAGATAAGTTCACTTTCAACACATTAATGTTGTCACCTTGTACTGATTATCTGTAAATTACATAAAATGTCCTCATTTGCATCATGAAAAAAAAAACGAAAAATCTCTGATTTTTTTTAAATCAACATCTCTGCTTTAAAGGTTTTTTAATGTCTCAGAGCCTGAGGTAATATTGAGCTTGTGCCCTTCTCCTCTCCACTGTCCACAGACAACACCCGCTTTACACACGCACCAACACACACGCACACAATCCCGCTCCGTCATCAACAGCCCCTCCCCCCGCGTGCACTCCATCATTGTATCGYGTGATTGTTAAGAACATATAACGAAAAGTTCAATCCCACTATAATTTTTATTTTTATTTTGGGGGGTGGGTTGCATGCACTCACCAGCTGAGTATATTTAATATTTTCTCCAAAAGCCACACACAAATATCCACCTTTTAGTCCAGCATTATGTGCACTGTTATATTTATTTATTTTTGTTTGTTTGTGTCGTTGCAAAAAGCAGAAACACGTTGGAATAATGCCAGAAAAGTCTGCGTGTATGATAATCAAATATGATTTAATTATGAGCGACAAACAAACAGAACTGAATCAGGAAGTTCTGCATGATTGTGACTGACTCGTCAGCAGAAAACAGCCAGTAATGCAACATTATGTTAACACCATGTGACAGTTTACAACCAATCACAGATTGCCAAATATACTGTCCAGCCTATGACAGGGCTCCAAGCTCAAAGAGTCTGTTATCAAACAAGAGAGTTCAGCCCGTTGCGGAGTCCTGACGTCCGGAAACAAACAGACTACGAGCCGAAATGAGCTATCAGAAAGATACGAGTGATGGACAGTGTCAAGGTGAAACAGATATAAATAATTAGTCCATGACAGTTTTTTTTTACTTTTCTTTCTTTCTATTTCTGATTAAACCTGTTTTCCACATCTTATAACTGAGAATAACAGTCAGGTGGGGAGGAGGACAGCTGTAATCTCTGTCTCCTCAGTCCATCTCAGACCCCTAGTGGTAACTCTGAACCACTGGAGTCCTCTGGAGCAGTCTGAACTTTTCARGAGAGTAAGAGTGATTCTTAGACCTAAGAATTTTGATAACTGGTACTTACACTTAAGTCTGAGAGTTGGAGCAAATCTGAGAATTTTTCAGCACTTAAGTCTAAAAATCCACTTTAAAAAGTTTGATAAATACGGGCCCTGATCTCCATTAGGCAATCTGAGAGGGAGGTAGGTGGCTGAGAGGAGTTGGTTTTGGAGGAAATGTAGAGCTGGGTGTCATCTGCGTAAAAATAAAAAAAATACATTATATTTACAGAAACTGTGACCAAGAGTGAGCATGTAAATAATGAACAGAAGGTGCCTGAGTACAGAACCCTGGGGCACACCGCAGAAACAGGAAACAAAYGTGAGGAGTGGGATTTAAGTTGAATAAAATGAGTACGGCCTGTGAGATGTGAAGTAAACCAGGCCAGTGGAGTCAATAGAAGTCATACTTCCCTCACCTGGTTTACTTCTAATAGTTGCTATGAAGACTGTGAACTGTTACCTCTCCTCCATGTTATCACAGATGCTAACAATGGACGGGATAGGCGAGGCTCACTCTAATGTTTTTTTAGCTCTATGCTACAGACTGCATTTCTCAGGATGTAATGACTGGATGTAAGTCCACAACTCTTTAACCACATTCACGATGGCTGCCACAGCTAAGCAACCGCAGAAAACACAGGAATGGCTCTAACTCAGCTAATGAGATAAAAGAAACAACTGCTCAAGGAGGTGGATTAAAACGGTTTGATGAAATAAAGTCATTTCCTGTGCAGTTTGTTCTGATGGTGAGGTGATAAATTTAAAGCTGCACTCAAACAGCTCTGGCAGCTCTCACTCAAAGCTGCAGATGCTGGACAGATGTTGAACTTCAGGAAACTGATGCTGTCTTTGATCTGCTAGCTGCTTTCAGACTAAGACAGGCTAAGCTAACAYCACTACCAGAAGCTCTTTGAATCTCAGACCACATGAGGTGGAAGTGCTTGAATCAAACAGCCTCATTTTAACTAACAGCATGTTGAAAACCAGGACAAATAATTTTCCTTTAGTTTGAGTTTTGTTGTGTTTCAGTGACAGACTGGCTGAGCTAATAAAAAGCTTTTAATGCTACTATCAAATATTCAAATCAAATATTAAATCAATCAAAATGTTCTACATTTAAATGGAGTGGTATTAGCTGCCTGCTGGCACATTTTCCTCCAACCAGAGAAAAGCAGAGCTGTGAGTTTGATGTACAAAATGAGTCATGGCCCTCTGCTTGAACAGGTTCCATAGCAACAGTGTGTAAACACTCATCAGTCTCTTCATGCTGGGTGTGTTTAATGAAYTTTGTGTGTTCTTTGTTTGTTCGCAGCCTGTCGGACCAGGAGCTCTTTGGAGGACTGGACTCTGGCTTTAACAGTGTGGACAGTGGCAACAAAAGATGGTCGGGGAATGAGGTAAAATGTGGAAATAATAATTTTTGTTCTTTTTGTTATTGAAAAAACTCCACAAAGATCACTGAAAAAACTTGAAACGAACAAACGTAACAACTGATAACAATCAACTAATGAAACTCAGTCGTTGTTTCTGAGTTTAGCTTCAACAGATTATTTAAAGGGCCAGTATTGTGTTTCTCAGGAATTACATTCAATCCTTTACCAAAATAAAGTAACTGTCACATTCAGTTGTTATGAAAATGCTCTTTATATGTATAAATCAAAAATAAGTTTGACTTCACATCACAGCCATTTCTAAATGCCTTAACATTGGCCTCTGTCTCTTCAAGAACTTCCTACCGCTTCTGTCACGCCCATTTCAGTACGTCATCACAACAACTTCATGCCGTTTACAACCTGGACCGTTGTAGCCTACTTTGTTGTAATAATAATATTATGACTTTAATCTCATAATATTATGACTTTATTCACGTAATAATAATAAAAAAATCTTATTTTGTGGCCCTAATACTCTGTCGTAGTTACCCTTCAGATTATTTCATTAATTTTCTGATAGATGTGTACCAAAGTTCACAAGATTAAAAAACGTATTGTCATGTCAGGAAATACTGGACTGTATAAAGGAACCTGGAAGTTGAAGCCAGAGCAGGTTCAGCACCCCCACAGGAGGATCCCAGAATAAATTTCAAGTCCTGCCCCTCTTAAACAAACAGGATATTGCTTTAATTGAAATAAACAAACAAAACACACCCAGATATTTGCTGACTCACCATAACGAGTGAAGCTGTTAGTGTTGCTCTGTAGCTCCGCCCTCAGGTGAAAACATCACATCAAAGTTTACCTGCGGACTCACACACCTGACGCAGTGATGGTGTTTRTGTTCAGTCAGCAGATGATTTCTCAGATCGTTCTCTTCGGTTGGCTGACATCAGCAGGGACCAGAGGAACCTGGACGAGGAAGAGGAGGAGGAGGAAGAGAGATCTTGCAAAGCTAACAATGGTGGGAGCGAGCTGGGTTTTTTTAATTATGGATTTGTAAAAGATCATTTTCTTTCTTTATAGCAGTCAGATGTATGAAATGGTAAAGCAGAGTGGTTTTTTCTTGTTTCAGTAAACGGAGCGTGTGAACAGGACGACTCAGGAGAAGAGGAGGAGATCAGAATAGATCCAGCCACACCTCCTGTGGTACGCACAGACTGACACTCAGCTTTTGATTTTATTTCACATCTGCAGAACTCCGTGCTTCTGATTCTGCTGCAGATTTAGCTTTCTGTTTGACCCTCAGAGCAGAGGAGATGATTAATTCCTCCAGTTTGTCAAACRGCTCCTCTCAGAAATGTCCTCAGCACCAGCCTCTGAACTGGACTGCTTGAGTTGTCAGTTCMCTTACAGCCCAGAGGTCATGATTGTGTCTGCTGTTTCAGGAGCAGGAGAGATCATCTTCATCGCCCCAAAACCAGGATGTGTCTTCACGCAGGTATGTTTGTACGACCCCTCAGACCCTAACTCCCTCTGGTTGATGGCATCTGCTGGACATCACAATCAGAATCTATTGTTTGAAAGCAAACCTGAGTTTAAAGAAGTAAATATTGTTCCTGGTCAGAGCGGCAGTGTGGGTAAAGATCAACACGGACCTGTTTTACAGTTTAAAGGAATAGTTCAGCCATTATGAAAAGTTAATATCTCACCTGTTGTACATCGCTCTATGAACAACCTCAGTTTACAGAAACAGAATTTCAGTTTAATAAGACTGATGAGTCTAAWCTGAACACTGGAAAAACCAAAGTAGATTTCTGTCATCTTAAAACGACTCTAATCTTCAACAGGCCTGGGTACAAAAATCACTTTCATTTAAGTTTGGGAAAATGCGTTCAAAGGTCATGAGATCGAGTTTCTTCCCATGGCGTCTTGTGCGTGATGAAGCTGACGTGCGTTTGTATGTTTTATGTCACTCCTGGCTTGCCGTATGTTTACATTCATGTTCAGTGCTAACATTATCTTCAGACCATAAGTTGTCTGGTGCAAAACAAAAGAAACTAAGGACTGACTAACATTACCAGCTGATTCTCTGCAGGACTTATAGATAACAGAGACCATGGTGACTTTTGTTTGCAAAGATTTGCACTCGTACACAGTAGTGGAAAACAAAGGCTTCAAGCAGCTCGTTCAGGTGCTCGGACTAACACCACTGAATGTAAACATCTGACTGAAACTGTTCTCTACAGCATGTACAAATGTGTGAAAGACGACGTTCTAACAACATCGTTTAGTTTTAGTTACAAATATTAATATTTTTAAACTTTAAGAAACGTCTTGATGAAATTCACAATGATGAAATGTAGTTGTATCATTAGTTAGGGGTTCGGGTTAGTTTAATAAGTTTTAGTTTAAATAACAGAAGGTAACAGAAACATTACAAATATATAATTTTCATACGGTCAAAGGAGTGGGCAGAAGCATACTTATATTAGCCCACCCCTTCTCCTGCAACCTTATTCCATCACTTCTTACGTCAAAAATAAGTTCTTAATTATTTAAAAAATGAATGCATCCAACAACACTGTCACTTGTAATTCCTTTTTAATTTAAAACCTTTGAAACTCGAAACAGTTTTATTTCAAGAGTAAACTGTCCAATTTACAAGTTTGCCCTTAAAACCTGTTTATGAAGAGAAAAAATAAACTGAATATGTATTTAGTAACAGTTGAGAGCAGATCTAATTGAATTGAGTCGAATTGTGATTAATCGATTCCAAACCTTATGAATCAAAATTTAATCAGTTTTGGGGAACTGGYCACAATACCCACCCCTAATGTTTAAACTTTCTTAGCCGTTCATGAAAACGCTGTATTATAAACCTTTAGAGTTTCACATYATTTTGGCATAAGTATAGTGAAATAGCAGGCAGACATGTTGCTGTTTGTAAACAATTCTTAAATCATGTGATAACTGTGTGATATGAACTTGATGACAGTGTAGAGATTTATAAAATGACATGAAGCAGCTGTTGGTTCATYGGTCCTGTCAGAGTTAGATTTTATTTCTCCAAACWAAGGTTGTTAAAGGTGTCTTCAACAAATAAGATGTTCATAACTTTTATACAAAAATCTACTTTAAAATGGCCAAAATATCCTTTGAAAGCAAACGCCTGGTTGAGCCTTGGCGTAGAAACTGTGAGCTCAGAGAAGAGAAACCAGAGACCTGAGTCTCTCTCTTGGTAACAGGAGTCATGGAAAGGTATAACAAAGTATTTACATACAGCTCTCCTCCTCCTCCTCTTTTCTGTCACACTCCTTTAATCTGGCACCACGCTGATTTCCCTGCTGAGAAACTTGGAATGTTCTTTCTTTTTTTCTTTGACTGACTGTGGGCCTTTCTGTGGAGCTGGGAAACGTCAACAGACTGCAGTCATCAGTACTTCCTGTTATAGCTCCTCTCTCGAGTCCTCTTCACTTCCTCTGACAGCTGCTGGTAACTCCACATCTGTTACAACATTAGAACACTGTCTAAATGATTGAGAACWGTGAAAGACTTCTGCATGTCTCAGCAACAAGTGGTGTGGCTGCAGAACACTGAAGAACTAGACACCACACAGCGGTAACACAATGACCCCCACACGCACAAATGCACCAGACCTCAGAAGTCTTTATTCCTGATAAATGTCATGCTACTAGGTGCATCCAAAAATTGTAGTGGTTTGGGTGGGGGCCTTTTTTTGAGTGATACTTGGACATTCAAATGATAAAAAATATAAAAAAATAGAGCAGCCTGAACAATAAAAAAACTAAAGTTATTTTTGTTTTGGTCTTAAACACATCAGCTGAAGTGAGTTGTTTTTATCTAAAAAAGTGTCATTTTGTCATGAATGGGGGGTCACGTACGAAAACAATACGACTCTGGCTTTCGCTTCGGGTGCGGGGGTCATAATAAAACAGAAAGTCTCAGTGGACTGCAGGCTGCCATGATGTCCTTAGATGATGCAGCTGAGAGAGGGTGTCATAAAACAGAACAGGGTGGCATTAACAGGTCCTGATGCCCCTCCACATACAGGAACAACCCCAGGTTCTCCTGAGAACGGTTTATATTCAGCCCTGATTATGATCCAAAAGGTCTGAAGCTGATTAAACCGTAAAACCCACCTTATTTCCTTGTTCATCGACAGAGTTTGTGCCTGAAAAAGAAAGAAACAGTATTTTATTGTTTGTTTACTGAAGGTAGGAGAGAAAGATGCAGACTGACAGCTGTAACGCTGCGTTCACACTGAACATTTGAGCATCAAGAATTCGTCTGAAGCTTCAAGTTGGACGTTTGTGCAACTCATCATTAATTCAGCAGATAATTCACAGGCTAGTTTCTCTACTCCAGGAGCTGCGAGCTCAAGAGACTCACTTTCAGAACCTGAGTCCAGTTTGATGATCTGCTGACCCACATCAGTGCTCACATCTCCTGCAGGACACCAACTACTGGCACTGGATTTCAGCTGAAGAGCTTATTTATTTATTTTATTTTATTTTTTATCATTATTTATCCAGGCAAGTCCTGTTGAGATCTCAGATCTCTTTTTCAAGGGAGGCCTGGGCCTGAAGGAAACCTGTTCTACATGTTTTTGTGTTGTGGGGTAAACCAGAGTACCAGGGGCCTCATGCATGAAGGATTGCACAGCTTTCACACTAAAAGTCGACATACGGACAAATTTAGAAATGTGCTCCGCACCAAAATATTCAGATGTATAAAAGCGTGCGTACGCAGCTTCCTGCACACCTTTCCTTTATACATCCCAATGAACG